CCAATTCCCCCTCTTTTCCTTCTCATGTCATCTCCTCACAACTCAAAGCTTTGAGAACCTTTGAAAATGAAGCACACTCCCCCCTCCTTCCACCTACCCTTTTATAGTCAGACTACAATCCTTCTTCCAAAAATAAATCAGCTCGAGAGGCCAGAAAAAGTGACGCTTAATGGTTTTATACTTTCATTATTTAGTTATGGGACACTAGTTGGACAGATTTATCATCACATTTTTACAAATTCCCCTCCAAATAAATAACTCTAGGATATGCCCAAATAACTCTGGCCTCTTGACCCAACATGCTTTTATAATTATTTGGCACTCCAACCGTATGCTACTTAAATTAGGTAACAGTCACCAAGTTATTTTTAGGCCATAGCAACACACATACACACACACAGCCTTTCTCTCTTTCTCTCTCTCTCTCTCTCTCTCCCTCCCCACCCTGTGTTATACCCAGCTTGTTATTTGTACTCCTTCGCAAGAGGAGCCCTGACTGCCTTTTTGCTGGCGCCATTATTTCTGCTCAACCAATAGTAATAACAATATAAGGCTACATTTATTGAGTGCTTACCACGTATGAAAAACTGGTCTAGACAGCTTGCACACATTAATCCATTCCATTCCTAATCTAACACTATGAGGTAGCTGCTGTTATATTCTTTTATAAGTGCAGAAACTAAGGAAGTAAGGGATTAAGCAACTTGCCCAAGGGCGCATGGCTGTAAGAGGGGACCAAGACTAGCGTCAGACAGACTGGATCCCAAATCCTTCCTGAATGTCTCCACCATTTGCTACAAGGCAAATGTAAAGCACGTTTGGATGGTAAGCAGAGGCTCGGAGTAACAACAGTAAGTTCGTGAATATAGGTATGTCTTGATTTCACATATCTTTTTAAAAAACTCCTCCGAACACCCTGAGACACAAGAGGAAGACTTTTTGTTCCGCCACAAATCAAAGCAGAAATAGAATAATTTCATGGGTTGTGTTTCCGAGCACAACCATTCACTTGGTCTTTGTCATCAAACTCAGCATTGCCTACAAACGTTAACGTCAGAATCCTTTGCGATTATGGAAAAATGTGCAATCTATGTTGTTCATTCCTCGGGAATTGTGATGGAAGGTTTTATAGTATAACAATCTAACGCTCTAGGTTATCAAATTTTCCCTATGGATCAGCCTCTTGAAGGGATTCCCACTCCTCCACTGCTCCCCCACTCCACACCTCTAGCACAGCAGCAGGCCTGTGGGAGACTGAAGCCATCAGCCAGTCTTTGTTTCTTGACAGCACAGAGCAAGTACAGGCATGCGCCTTAGAGACTCACATAGAAGGGGGGCTACACACCCCCAGGGAAGCACCTAGAGCTTTCCCCCCACTTCACCTGCTTCTCCACAGACCTGAGAGCTACCCAGCCAGAGTGGAATTCTAAGTTTGAAAACCTCTCAAAAATGGTCACATGACCCCAAAGGATTTAGGAGTGAAAATGTTGTCCACTCTAGACTATAAAATATTCCCAGCCTTATTAGTTCTAAGACATTGAGTTCCAACGTGAAACATATTTGAACACTTTAAAATATTGTCTATGCTAAAAAATAGTTCAGCAACCAAAAAAAGGAAGAGAAAGCCAATAGGGAAAATACTGACAACAGTTTAGGTGATAAGCATACGGTGCTCTTCAACCTCTTTCTACTTTTCTATATATTTGCAAATTATTAGTAAAAACAAGTTTTAAAGGCACAAATTGTCTTTAAAGAGGAGGGAAGCAGACACTATCCTTTCCAACATAGGTAAATCAATGATAAAATAGTGCTCTGAACCCAGCTTTCCTGAAAAGTAAGGGTACCTTACAAACCCCATTAACAAAGATGGCAGCTCCCATGAAGGAAGGGAGCAGAACGGTCTAGACCTCTTATTCAGTTTGGTTAGAAATTATACTAAAAAGCAACTTTGGGTAAAAACAGATTGTAATTCTTTCAAAGACTTTGCAAATCCCTAAGTATTTGTTCGTTTGGATCATTTTCACCAGGATGAGCAGAAGTACTGGTCTGATGCCATTTATTCTTCGGAAGCTGAGAATAAAACATGGATTCAGACGTAGGTCACCACGGGGAGGGGACTGTAAATTAGAACAGTAACTTAATCCCAGGGGCTTCTGCGCCTCTGATCAGTTTCTTCCCAACCTGACACAGCATTACTAAAATGGTAACTGAGCAGCCGCTCTACTTGACAGGCAGCACCAAAAATGGAGAACATGGCATTGAAATAGGGGGACATAAAACTTGGACAGGGAGGGTAGCAACCAGTGTTTACAAACATAAACCAGAGAACCAGTTGGGCCAGCCATAAATTACCCAAGATTGTACCGAAATCTCTGAAGATAAATTAATGAGGCCCTAGAAGTTTCTACCTTAGACTTGCAACTACCTTCACCCCCATAGCTTCCCTGCGAAAATCACTCATTCCAAAATGGTACCGCTACCACCTTGCTAAAATAAAATCTTACATCACCAAGGGAGGGGATCAGTGTCGTGAACCTCAGCAAAGAATCCAGACCAGAATGGTCTGCTTGACCCATTCGAGAACTTGGGAGAAGTTGCTGGCCATGCACTTCTGAGAGATACCCACCCCATTCTTCACCTCAGTGGTGCTAGGATATTAATCTTTGGTTTACGCAGATGAAAGGGTAGCTGGGGGGTTCTAATAATGATCGCTTTCCTTTCTTCCCCATCTTGGTCCCAATTTTAAGCCGTTTCCCCCAAAGAGACCAAAATAGTAATGACGACAATAATAAATAAATTAGACTACAGGCCCTGTGCTCCTAAACTATATATTTTCAACCAAATTCCCACATCTTTGAAGAAAAAAACCCCCCAAACTACAAATAATCGAACCTCTACCACCAGCGCGTCTTCCAGGTCGACCGCAGCTGTGTCTCACCAAACCGAAAATGACGAGCCCTCACGCGGCCGCCCAGGGTGCCCAGTGGTGAGGTCAGCAGCATGTCCGGCCCCGCCCCACTGAGGCAATCTTACTCACTGACACTGAGGAACAAGCCCAGGCTGCCTGGGCGCTCAGCTGCAACCACCGGAAAGGAACCCCACTTCCATCGGTAGCACCCCGGAGACTCATTTCCCAGAGATCGACAAGCCACCCCCAAACACAACACTGTCCACCGCAAGGAGGGTAGGATCTACAACTCCTCCTAATCACCCTCATCTTCAAGTCCAGGGTCACCTTCATTTGTACTGTTTGATGCCCGCCCTCAGATCACACAGACACAAAAGGTCTACTTTTTCTTAACAACATCTACGCTACATGAGCAAAGAGAGGTCCACCAAGACTACCCGCTAGTCCCTCTCTATGCTCCCCATGACAAACTATTACAAATGGGAAATTTGTAGATTGCATATTTTCATCTGAAAAAGCCAAGCCAAGATCATGGTGAGAGAACACTAGCTGGGTAAGCCTACTGGGAATCACTCAAAGTCAACCAAACATGGATAGAAATGATAAAATACAGAGCTACACAGAGGAAAACTGAATATATCCGTAACTCTAAGAAAACTCATCAACCCCAACAAAAATGTCTGGGCCCTGCTGACACTCTCTGGATATGGCCTCCATTATGTTCTCCTTCCCACCAGAGCCCACCAACCCTAAGAAGAGTTGTGCCTATTTGGGATCACAGTGACAGCAAGCTTGAGGAGATCAGGGGAGGATGGGACAGGGGGTGGGGTGTACCGTATCAAAGTGAATTACTTGGAACCATATTTCCAAGAACACCACTTAAGAAAAGGCAGAATGCATCGCTGGGAAGACAAGGAGCATGGCGGAGCTGTCACACCAAGACAGAACAACCGACTTGCTCACCCCAGTGGCCTGTTGAATTTCAATATGCAACGTGTTCCAAGGAACCCAGCAATGCCTTTGGTCGACACACTTCAGGAGACTTAGTGGTGATGTGGCTCAGAAACCGTATATACTTGGTTCCAATACAAGAGAAGAAAAGAGAGAAGATGACTGTTTCTCACCATCACCCAAGGACAGAAGACACTGAAGAGGAAGAGTAGCATGTGGTGCCCCAAAGGACACTATCTGCCGCCAAAGAGGGGCAACTGGGAAAGATTCAAGATGAGGGGTCCCCTGCTATGTTCGGCAACACGGTGTGAAAAGGAGCTCAGAAAAGAGTGGGTAACTCATCCTTCCTGCCAGGGCTCAGCAAAGCTGACCTCACAGTTATTCCTCATCCAGGGTAAGGGGGCATGTGCCTCGCCACCCCAGCCTGGAAGGAGCCACGACACCAACGGTTGCCAGGGGAGGCCAGAAAGAACAACAACAGGTTGGGGGGAGATATTTCATAAAAATGTCTCTGTCCCCCTGGAGCTTTGGCAGAAGAATGGATGTTTGGGGTACACTTAACACTTTCTGTGGGGCCTTGTAATAAGGGTCTCTGCCCTTCTCGAAGGTCACTTTATAAACCATATAAAAGGCCAGCTGGCCACAGAGGTGAGAAAGAAGAAGATTTCCCCTCAAAAAACTGGTACCTGTAGGTTCACTTGAAGTTCATCATAGTTGTTGCTTCCTCCATTCCATCAACTTTGGTTAAATCTGAGAGACAATGACTTTCCAACTGGTTATTGACTGGAATAGAGCTACCAGCCCAGTTAGGACTTGAGAACCCCTCTGGTGGTACAAAGCCCCTCTTTAGAAAGACGAGAAAACCAGTCTCAGAGAGGGGAGATGCTCGCACCATGCAAATGAGAGGCCGAATCGCGACTAGAACCCAGGTCTTCTGGCTTCCAGTTCTGTGTTACTGGGCTTTTCTCACTCATACCAGGATAGCGAAGGGCAAAGAAGGGAAGGCGAGAAGAAGAAAGTCTAGTTTGGTCTCGGCTCGCCAAGGTTAAGGAGAATGCTGGAACTTCTAGGACCGAACCCGCTCTGAACCCAGGCTAATAACCAGGACTGCGCTGCGGAAGGGGGGCAGGGAGGGCATTACCTTTCAACACCAGAGGCTCTTTGCCTTCTCTCTTCAGGGACTCGAGGACTATGTGAAGAGGCTGGGAGGGCATCACTCGGCTCGGCTCATTGGTATTCTCATCATAAACTATAATTTCTTTGGAAAAGATCCTCTTGAAAGAGTCCTTGCCTTCCCTACAGGAAATCAAGTCTAAGACCGTGATCTTGCCCTGCTGCAGTCGCCGCCGGCTGATCTTGTCGGCACAGTTGATGTGGACAGCTCCTTGGATGTGACTTTTATTGTACTCCATGAAGGGCCGGCAGTCGATGATGACAGGGCCCTGGCTCGGCAGGTGGCTCTTGCTGCCTTTGGTCATCTTCTTCGCCAAGTCATTGGGGTAGATTATTTTGATGCTGGCTAGCTGCTTGGGGGTCCCCGACACAGAGCTGCCCACCCCACCTGACGGACTTAAAGGGCCTGCGTTCTCATTGCTGTTGACCATCGGGTTGGCAGGGCAGGCGGTGGAGGTTCCGATGGCAGGGGCGGTGGGGCCAGCGGCGACGGCTTGGGTCTGGGCCTGGTTGTCCTTGTCATAGGTTGCCACAGTGCAACAGCTGGCACTGCTGCATCCACAATTCAGGGAGCGGGCAGAGCCGCTGGATGAGGGCATATACGTCAGATTCGCAGCCTTGAGGGATACGACGGTGGTGGCAATGACCGCGGCGTGGCTGCTACTGCCTGGGGCGGCAGAGCCAAGGTAGCTAGAGTCTAAACAAAGGTTGAGATCCTGAGGTCGGACGGGCCTAGACAGTGCCACTACTACCCTGTCGTCTAAAGGAGACGGAGGCATGAGGAGGCTGAAAACTGGCAATTCAAGAAGAACTCAAGACAGTCTGTAAAGAAGGGGAGGGGGAAAGAGAGAATAAAGTCACGTGACACAAAAGGCAGTCGGCTCCAAACCCTAGGAAAGACGTCTGCTTCCCTCTGAGGGAAGTGGTCCTAAGGGCCCTCTGCCACGCCTCTCTCAAAGCCTGGAGCTCATGTTTCTGGGTTCTAAGAGGATGCCAAGCTGAGGGCCCCCGTCTATGTGGTTACCAAGTCTACGGTTACTTGTACAATCTACACAAATGCTGACGAACCACCTTTCGTGGACCCACGGCAAAAGTCAGCCCCGGAGAAAGCAAAGGCACAAAGAATTCGACAAGCTCAAGACGGAAAGGAAGGCTCTTAAGAAGCATCTGTTCTGGGCCTCCTCTCCTGGGCAGAAGCAACGTGCAACCATCCGAGAAAGAGCCACTTGCCCACTCTTACATACTTCCCATTTCGGCCCCTCACCCGCTGCAAAGGCAGAGGAATGACCAAGCACGCTGGCATGGCTCCCCGAAATATACAGCAGCTAAGTATACATCGGGGGCGGATGGCAACTTTCTGCAAATCGGAATGAAAATGGCCCCCCCCCCAAGTGAATCTCTTTACTCAGCAGCTCTTCTTTTCTTGCTTTCCACTCCTTTGAGAAGCACAACACGGTCATATTAAAAAAACTCCCGTGTTTCCTGTCAGTCTCCTAGAAATTAATCTGCATTTCCCCTTTTGTTACAAATGAAATGTCCTGATACAAAGCTTCGGGCCAAGGAGCCACGTCTTGTAACCCCCAACTCTGGCAGATCCTCTGCTCCTCTGCTGCCGACCTCATCCACACACCCCCTCCCCCGCAATACACAGACTCCTGCCTTTAGGGAAAGAACCACTTCACTCTCCCTCCTTCGTTTCCCCATTGGCACACACTATGCATCCCAGAGCTTCTTTCAATGGGAAGCAGCCACTGTGGAGGATATTTCAATCCCCCACAGATAGACCCTCGCCCCTGGAAGAGGATGAACTCCATAGAAAGGACTTCCCAATTAGCCAGTCCCTGTTAAAGGGGGCAGGGAAGGGTTGCCCACTAGGTCCACCTCCTGTCTCATGAGAGAACGCCTGCAAAGGAACAGTGCCTTCCTTCCCTGTAGGCACGGGGGGCACTCTACGACCAGACCCTCCTGGCTCCTCTGCTATTAGACATGCACAGAGAAAAGAAACCAAACTCCATGCGAGAATCGCTCACCTAAAGGAACTTTAAGAGATGTCTGGAAAAATGTCATCTATCACCCGTCTACACACGACCGTCACCATTCTCTGACACAGAGCCAAAGGGTCACAGGCAGAATCCACACACGCGCGCACACGCATACACACAGAGGCACGCACCCAGCACGTCCACAGATCCCCACCGACTGAGGTTTCTCTCGACCACCTTTGGATGGGAGAGGAGGATTCATCCCCTTCCCCCCTCTCTCTCTCCTCCCTCCCTCACTCGCGTAGTATTTTTTTTTTTTTGAAGAGCAAGTACTATTCCAGAAGCTATAACTGTTTCCCAGCTGGACCAAGCTGTGAAAGTCTTTGCTATTGTGTTACCAGGTAGGGCTCGTCCCAGGATCAACAGCCCATTTCCTTTGCGAGGGACGCAGAAGCGTGTTCACGGAGACACAGGCTGGGACCCCCACCTCCACACGGAGTGCGCGGCTCGCTCACACACACACACACACACACACACACACACCCATACACACGCGCGCGCACGGAGTGTATAAAGAGATCTGCATCCCTGCAGCAGAGGGTCGGGCGTATATATTGCCCGTGAAACCATCCACACTGGCCCAGGAAATCTCCCAGAGAAACACTGAGCTATCCCCTCTCCCTTACTAGTCGTCCTTCTACCTAAAGCAAGGGGCTGGAAAGAAAATTAAGTCGTTCGAGAATGCTACTTCCCCACTCCTGGGCGCTTATCTCCCTTCGCAAAACACAGCACTCACAAGCCCATGGCATTTAAAACTGCCGCAAAGCATCCCAACAAACCTCATTTTTTCTTCTCTCCAAATCCAACTAGACTGCAGAGAGAGTAAACGCACAGGGCAGCGTGAGCCAACAGCCGGAACCCTCTAACCTCACCTGCTGTGGCTCCCCCGTGAGCATCGCATCACACACACTCGCTCACACTCACACTCACGCCGCCTTACGCTCCCAGGCTCTCAGGAGTAGCCGCGGTGACTTCCACTCACTTCATAAATAAGTGTAGCCCTCCACCATCTGGCGCTCCGCTTCAGCTATGGATTCGCCCATTCAGCCCCCATTCACTTGGCTTCATTGATCTCCAGCAGCAACATAGTTACTTTCTCTTTTGCTACACTGTAAATGTAAGGTTCTGAGGGGGCGGGCCGGCTGCCGACCGACGGCATGTTGGGCCAATAGGAATCCGGAGAAAGCTCACCGCTACCTCACAGCGCCCCGCGACCAATGGGCAGCCTGGGGGGTGGAGCCGGGGGCGTGGCCTCGTCTCTTTAAGGAGGGTTTATCCGACGCCGCTCTGGGTCCTCAGAGTTAGAACCCGGGCGGTGATGTCATTGGCAACCAATCAAAAACTTAAAAGGGCCAGCCGGGGCCCGCGCGGAGCAGCTGCTCTCTATTTACATGTAAACCGAACCGGCTGGACGCGGTTAACCCTTTCCGGGGCTGAAGTGTCAATGGGCTGGACTCGCCGCTCCGGCTAAAACCGGCTCTGTCCCTTGGCCAGGATCCCCCCGCACCCCCTCCCGCGGGGGGCAGACCACGCTTTTCTTTTCCTGATCACTCAGGACGGAAGATCAAAAGTGTCGGAGGAACTTTTTAAAGGCCAAGCAGCGTGCCCGGTGGAGAAACCGGGTTCTCCGAGTCGCTTCGACAAAGCCTAACCCGAGAGCCGCGGACGTCGCCGAGCCGCCCGCGGTGGGACCGACGTGAGCGCGCTGGGGGGCCCGCGGCGCGGGCGCAGCTGCAGAGCCGGCGGGGCGGGCCGCGCGGAGCGACGACCACCCAGCCAAGCTGCGCCCCGCGTCTCCGCGCCGGCGGACTCGGCTCCGCGTCGCCGGGAAGCGTCGGCCGCCCGCCCGCAGATGTCGCTGCCCCTCCGGCTGCCCCACTGCTACCCCGCGCGGCGGAGGCGCGGCGCCCCCTGGCTCGCCCGCATCTGCGCCCCGGTCACGCCCCCGCCGTCCCTCCGCCCGCGTCCCGGGGCGCGGCCGCGAGCACGGAGGCGGCGCTGCGGAGGGCTGCTCAGAGGCGGCGGCCCGGGTCCAGGCCGGCAGCTACAGGGAGCACGCCCACTAGGCCGGCGTCGCGGGGCTCGCGGCGCGCTCGCCACCCCGCCGGAGACCCGTCTGCCGCCCGGCTCGCGGGGTCCCCACGTCCTGGCCTGCCGCCCCCTTCCCCGCGTCCCGGGCAGCCGCCCCGCCACCCCGCCACCCCGCAAGGCCCCAGGCGAGCCCGGGACTATCAGCCCGGCGCTTCTGGAACACCGCCGCTGGCGGACGGGAGCTGGAGCTGAGAGTAAATAACCAGATTGAGTGTGGCCCGCGAGGCGTCGGGGAGGCGGCGCCACCCCTCTGGGTTTTCCAGACTTTTGCCGCCCGCGGGGTCGCGGGCCCAGGCACAGGTCCCGTGGAATAGAGTCGGGGTAGGGCCGGGCGTGGTGAGACAGGCCGGCTTGAGCCTGGTCAGGAAAATACCAGGGAAGCTGCGAGAAAGTTGTCTTGGGGTTTGTAGAGGGGTGGAGATGACTAGGTGAACTGCAGAGAGCCTTGCATCACCGAACCCTAAAGAAATAGAGCTTTTTCTGTTTCCCTCTCTGGTCTCAGCCAGGAGGGAAGGAGTGAAATAATTACAGTGGAGTACATACTTTACATTAGGAGCACTATAGAAATTTGGCTATGATTTTTCTCTTACTAGCTTGGAGGTGTTTGGAGACATTCTTCAGGCTCCAGGCCTATTAAAGTAAGCAAAGTGGCGGTGACATATTCGTATAAGTGCAGATCTGAAATCAGAAGATGCCGTACAATAGCCGACTATGTTCACAGAGCTACTAAGAAATCCCCTTCGGTTCCCCTGGAGGGAAAATATATGTATAATTTTCACACAGGTGCGCACACACAGTCCAGTTTTCACACTAGTGTTTCAACGTGCAGTAAGTGATTACAATCATATTTAAAAGCTCATACGATCACCTTTTGTGCAACCCTTCTGCATTCACACACCAATGCACCTACACCCTTAATGATAACTGAGTCCTTGGGGCAAACCCATTGGTCCTTAAACCTTGGGGATAAGCAGATCCTGGCAGAGGAAGTTGGTTTTGGGTAATTTCCATAGACATCCGAGAAGAAGTTCCCAGAGGGTCTATCCTGGATCTATTTGGAACTTTAATAGCTTGCCTTTCCCTAACCATAGACAATTATTGGGGGGAAAAAATGTTCACTAATTCAGGGTCAGAGAGTTCTGGATAGAAGTCCTGATTCTGACACGTGTCTGTTATGCCTGTTCATCCAGACTTACTGTGTTCACTTATTTATCTGTAAGATGGTAATACCCCAGCCCAGAAGGAAAACGGAAACGGAAAAGCCCTGGGGGGGACCGGACACTTGAGCTGGTAACTTGGGTGCCTCTGTTTCAAAGCACTTGTGATCTCTAGATTATGAATTCATTGCTAATGCCTCACGACCTAAGCCCAAACAAAGTACGGATTTATACAATTACAGAGGAGTTTATAACAGCTTCTCCCACAGGCCCAGAAGGGGAATGACACTTCAAAAACAAATGTAACTCATTTAATGAGATGATTATTTTATTATAGTTTCGAACTACTGGATTTTTATAATTTAGTTGACTAAGAATCAAAGCCATCCAAGTTGCAAAATTAGGAAAAATGGCAAAATTCCTCATCATTTCTCAAACTTGAAACATGGAAGAATTACCAGATCATTAACATACAAACGTAATTGTTTGTTTGCTTTTAACTAAGCATCTCTAAAGGTCCAGTTTATGTTCAAATTATAGAGTGGTTGGAAACGGGGAGCCTGCAGATCTTTCCCATTAAAGTCACGGATAGGATGCACCTGTGCTTAAGCCATTTAAGGTTCTATATCTGTGTTTTCTGATATGGTAGCCATTTGCCACATGGGACCATTGAACACTCACAGTGTGGCAAATAGGAATTAAAATGTGCTGTGCATTTAAAATAAATGCTGATGGCTCCTGGCTGACTCCTGGGTGACTCCGTGGGTTAAGCTTTCAAGTCTTGATTTCGGCTCAGGTCAGGATCTCATGAGTCATGGAATCGAGCCCCAAGTCGGGCTCCATGCTGAGTGTGGAGGCTACTTGGGATTCTCTCTCTCCCCCTCTCTGCTTTTCCCTCTCCCTCTCTCATGCTCTCTCTCTAATCTCTCTCTCAAACCAACTTCACAATAAAAACTACATGCTGGATTTTGAAATTTCACGTAAAAATGTGGAATACCTCAATTATTTTTATATCAATCACATGTGTAATTGTTCGAATATGTTGGGTTCAATAAAATATGTTAATGAAATTAATTTTACCTATTTTTGTATTTGTTTATTTTACTTCTTAGAATATAGCTATTAACAATTTTGAAAAGACTTATGCACTTGACATATTTTTGCGGGCAGTGCTGTTCTGGAACTTGCAGTTGCTCCTTTGATTTGAGGTCACTTTGGTGCCAAAGGGACCAGAGCCACTCAGTGCTAGACCTGAACCCGACTTAGAGCTTATCTAGGCCGGTGGTTTTCAAACTGTGTTAGGAAGAGCCACAGGGGGTGGAGACGCCCAGGCCAGGGAAACGTTAAAGAAGGGGCCCTGAAGGGGTGGGGTGGGGGGGTAAACTGAAGGAGCTCTTCCTCACACACTGGAGATATATTCTTTTATTCCCGAGACTCCAAAGTAAAGGTTTCTTTTGAAGAAAGGATTCTGGTTGGTGTTTTGTTTTCTTTTGTTTCATTTTCTTTTGTTTTGCTTTAATCCTGGCCCATCGTGTTGCCCGTAAGGCAAATCTGAGGTCCAAGGAATGGAGATGACCGAGTCAAAGCCATGCTTGACCTTGGGATTTGACCTCAACTTCACTTAAAGGTCCAGCGTGGCCTCTACAGTAGAGGAAGTGACCGCCCCGCTGGGGAATTACTAAACTCCCTGTTTCAACCGAGGCGAGCCAGTCCCCTTTCCAAGCAGTGAACAGTCCTCCGCCGAGGCTCGTCCCTCCGTTTGTGACCTCAGAAGTGCCTACTACCCCTTGTCAGAAGAGAATTCTGGCTAGGTCCGAGTGTGTGGATCACCGACACAAAATTATTTTCCTTAAGAAAATAACAAACAAAAATCTCACCGGCGGCAGGTTTCCAGCAATGCCTCGCTCTGCAATGGACGGCTATTATTCTTATGTGCTGTTACATCAAAGACTTAACATTGTCTCCTCTCCCAGGCTGAACATCATTCCCTCATTAGAAAATGCTGTTAGACCCACAGTGGCTCAAGTCCAGGAGGCTGTGGCTGGCGGCAGCTAGGACAAAAGGTAAACACTCCCTCTAAGCCTTCCTAAGGCCCCTGGCGACTTGCCTCGGGTCTAAGGAGTAAAGGAATTAATCTCACACCCTCAGCATCCCTCAGTGAGTGGCTCGGGACTGTACCGCCCCTGGATAAAAATAAGCGTCTTTACATTTTGCCCAACGTGTCAGGACGTGCCTCGCTTTTCTTTCCAATTCGACGTTGACTGAACTGACTTTACTTTAAAGATCTGGCATTTGGGAAACTAATCATAAAGGGTTCACACGCAGGAGCGTTCTGCTCTGTGCCCGTCACTGTGCTCAGTGATCTACACACATTCACTCATTTAAGTCCTCACATCCACACTGAAACTAGAAGGAGGCACTACTTTTATTAGCCTTACTTGAAAGATGAGGCAACAGAAATACAGACAGGGCGGGAATCTGCCCCAGGTCACACAGCTCCAAGGCAGCAGAGGCGACATTTGAACCCAGACACCCCGGCGCCAGAGCATCTGCTTTTAACCATTCTGTGTGATTCAAGTCACTCTCTCTGCCATTCTATAAACTTCTATCATATCTCCCTCAGCCGCCATACTGCCAGCGTATTTTTAATTGCCTGTTTGTGAGGATTTGCTGTTTTTTCCCCTGCTTCCTCCTGAACTTCTTGGTGTCCATTATGTCCTCACATGATCTCTGTCTACGTTTGGGATGATATCAAACCCTCACTGTGTTTCCAGAATCCTCCCAAATAGCTCTCTGAACTCTGTCTGCGTTTTGGTCACTGCTTCAGGCTATGCTGACTGAG